TTCCTGGCATGGTTTTGAGTTATGCCAACCAGCCTTTCCCCAGACAGTTCTGAGGCATAGTTAATCATGGACCAAAGATCATCCCCAATAAGCAGTTTGCATGTGGTCACCTTTTTTGGGAGGCTGAGAATTTAATAATATGGACATAGATCACCCTGTGCCTGTTGGTCTCAGTGCCAAAGGAACATTTCCTGTCCCGTTTAATTTCCTAGCAGAGACATAGCCACTGTGTTACAGTCTGATCCCTGCTTTGTTCCTGTAGCCGTGCAACTGGGCATTGGTCTGTACTTAAAGTCTGTGGCAAACCGAAATGTAGGCTTTTTGTGTCTATGTTACTCAACCCCATCCCTCAACCTCTGTTTGTCTTTTTTGAACTGTATGCTATTCAGATAGCAACTATATTTGGAAAGGGCTGTGTATTGTGCATTTCAATTAAGCAGTTATCCAGAAATTAAAATCTGCCCTGTAAAGTAAATGGAAAATGAATGAGACTGACATGATGTGTAGATCTTGTGTTCGCATTGCTAGCAAGCAGATTCTTACCACTAATCTGATTTTTCATTAGAAACAGGTACCATGAAGTACAGGACTGAAACTCCTGGGGCTAGATGGTCCTAGATAGCAACATCTGTCAGGTATAAGGCAGAAAGCTTTATTTCAAAATAAAGTTCTCCTTCTTCTTCTGACTCTAAATGCAGGTCTCCGTTTGCTTCTCACCTTTCCTTCTTCTAAGGTCTATAGGCCTTCTATGTCTATGACCTTAGAGGTCATAGACATAGCCTCAGTAGACATTTGCAGATGTTCTTCTCCTTTCTAATGGCTCTCAGATACGCATTTCATTTCTTCTCATCCTGAAGTGGTGCGTGAATCTTTTGACATTTAAATGTTAGAAACAGCAATGTGCAGCTACTGATACCGTTCTTATCTGATGTCATCTATGATTCTGTGATCTTATCTGGGTAGTAGAAATACACAATAAGCGCTGGACAAGGATCGTAGTTACTCCTTTAGGTACGCACTTCTTCCATTGCGTTAGTTATTCTCAGTCTTTTTGTGTGTAGCTTTATCTATAAAATGCCATTGTCATAGGGTATCCTCAGGACAGACAGAGTGGACTGAGAAGGTAGCGGGAGAAAAGGAGCTAATTTTGTTCAGGAGCATTTAAAGGCATTTGGAAGAAGAAGGGACAGGGTGTGAAACTCAGAGGAGTTTGAGGGTGCAAGGGAGCAAATGGGGAACACGAGGGAAGACAGAACTCACAGGATGTGGCAGGACAGCAGGCTGTGTCCACCCAGATGTTTGTAGATGAGCAGCAGGAGTTAGTCCTGTTCAGTGGTGCTGTTAGGGAGGCCACTGGCATGTGGCAGAAAGGCAGAGGCAGGGGCAAGGAGCCAGAAGCTCAGAGGACAGCTGGAAGGAACCTGGCTGGTATTAAGAAGAAAGCTAAAGAGACCAAGCAGAGTGAGGAGAAGAAAGAGGAGAAAGGAGGGAAGTCTATTAGATGGGAGGACTAAAATGTGACATGGTCACTAAAGCCTAAAACCTCCAAAGTATCTAGGAGCCTTGCGCTGAATTTAGGATCTCCGTCAGAGTGTGAGCACGAACCCCTATTCCTTCAGAGCAGCCACCATGTGCTACATCATGCGTGTGTCAGGTTTTCAGGAGAGGCAGAATTTAAGTGAACTGTACTGATGCAGGTGCTTGCATTTTTCATCCTAAAAAATGGGACTTTATCAAGCAGCTCTTTATCAAGTGCTCTATCTTTCAAGGAGAGCCTGCCTCACTGCTGGTGTGACTTACCAAAGCAAAGCATTTTTTCATTCTAAGTCAGAACTGTGCTAAAGAGGAAGTGATGATCTGGTTGTTCAGCCTCACCATATCCTGTGTTCAGAATAATTTTCATTTCTACTTATCTGCAAATGTTAATGGAATGTCCACAAATATTTTCTTGGTTTCTATGGTAAGAAAAAGTGTGAAACTTTATTTCAAAACCACAGCATCATCTGTATCATCCTGTGCTTTTCAGGAGAAGACCCCAACCACGAGTGGCATTACTTGTGTGCAAAGTGGCGTTCAGTACATTGTGATCCCTTTTGGATTCATATTTTGAAGAACAGACATGCATATTGCAAACCATAAAGGTTACTTTTTCACTTTCATAATTGCACAGTTATGACAGAGGATATGAAAACAGCTCAACACAGTTTACTTCCTCTCTGACTATAAAGCAATCAGGCATTTGCTGGAATTTAACTCTTAGACTCTGGAATTTTTTTTTTTTTTTTTAAAGATTTAAGTTTTGCAATTACTCAGAAGTGAAATCTCCCAGTCCCCTGTGTATGCATCAATGGAGCATAGCAGGGTGCAAATCCTTGGGGAACCGTGCAAGTAAGTGGTCACGTGGGAGAAGCAGCTAACATACTGCAAGCTTCCGTAGCCTTCTGAAAGCAGCACTGTTCCCCCTGAGCAAGCACCTGGGGACTCGCCATGAGCTGCAACATTCTTCTCAGGAAAGGAGCAGCTCTCTTGTGCCATATTTCTCTCGAAAAGGAACTTCAGTTTAGGGCAATACATTGTCAGAAGTGTTCAAACAGTTTCACAACGATACATCCCCCAGTTCTCTGCCTATGAGAGAGCAGAGACTTAATGTGGCAGGGGTGGTGAGACTGGGGAAAATAAAGCACCATTTCATCCTGTGTGAGAAGAGCCATTTGGATCTCAGAGCACGAATCGTGAGGTTTGGTGGGATTCCTACAGATCAGAGATCGCACAGCTCTTGCTCCTGATACTGCATCCAGCCACTGGCAAACAATAATGAGTCAAAAGTGTTATAGCTAATTTCTCAAAGCAATGTTTCTTCAATAAGCTTTTCCACAAACATACTGAAAGAAGTGCAGCTCAGTTTGAGAGGCATCAGGTAAACTATATATGTGTTTCAGGAGGAATTTTATCTGACTCGGATAGGGCAGCTCCCTGACCTCCAGTTACACTTGTCTTCTTTACCTGATCTGAATTTCTGAAGAAACTTTTCTGGGGTTTATAGGGAGAAATATTTTGGAAAAGCATCACTGGTATGGTACAAAATCAGGAACAAGACAAGCAAAGTTAAATAACGCTCAACTTCCACACAGGAATATTTCTGTGGACAGGTATCTGGGAGTCTACCTTGCCAGTGCTGTACTTTGCACTGTGTTATGGAACTGTTTCAAAGACAAATTTTATGAATAGAGATCAAAGTGTTTAAGAGAACTGTGCAAATACCCATGAACCTCCCTTCAATAGCCATTCAGTAGTTCCAAAGGCTGTCAGGGCATGTAATGATTGTAATAAATGTTGTATTTGCTTTTGTTTCAGCTGACTTTGGCCAGTAAATTCTACCAATTACTTCCATTGTTATTTTTGCTTAGAAGACAATTATATTGTTATCATTTAAAAAAACAAACAAACCAACAAACAACCTTTTCCTACACATTTTTTTTTTAGTGGTCTTGAAACTCAGAACTCACTATTGTAGTTAACATAATTTAAAAAGTTGTTTTCATTCTTTGTACTTGTTTTTCAGTGTTTTTGCTTTGTTTTATTCTCTTCCTGAAAGCTGCATCTCCAACCTTTGTGTTTGTTGGAGAAACAAAACAATAATTATTGAGACCCCAAGGTGCTTCCTGCCCCCAGATTAATAGTCAGAAGTTTAAATTGTAGCACACACTAAGAAAATATTGATATTTAGCAGATGATCACATGTTGTTATGGCTGGATTATAATTGTAATCTGGAACAGGATACTCCCGTGGCTTTGAGATTATGTTCTAACAATATAAGAGCTCACGCAGGACTCTACAAAAGCTCCTTATGTTCTTCTGCAATATACTGACGGTCCAGTCAGCTTCCTCTCTATTTGGTCTACTTGTTTTTATCTACAAAAGGATAAATAGAAACTGTCCCACCTCTGTTGTGGGTCCAATGTGCAGGATTCATCAAAGTACATCAATGGAGCAGTGCCAGTAAAATTCCCACTGAGTGTTTACACGTTGCGACATGACCCTAGGACAAGAAGAGCCTAAGAAGAGCAAAAGCTTTACGTGGCATGTGCCCCTGGAAAAGAGTGTATCATTTGGAAGTAAATTGTGAGAGAAGTTAGTGCTGGCCTAACCAGCAGCATGTGAACAGAGACAGTCACACAACTATAAAGGTCAGGAATCTGCCAAGGATCCCTGTGCTGTGTTGCTTATGGGAAAACTGGTAGTTTAAGGTACTGCTGTGTGTGAGGAAACTACAGTGGCCAGCACTGAATGCCTTTGGTAAGGGACAACCTTGGGGAGGGTTTGATTTAATTTGTGTAAAACTGTTAAATACTTTATAGCCTCTTCAGAGAGAACTTTTGAGACAGGTCAGACATGTTTACCCAAGTTAGCCCATGCACTTGAGCTAACCCTATTTCTTTTACCAAAAAAATAATATATAAACTATGAAGAGTTTAGGACAGACATGGGCTACAGGTTCCTATTTGTCCTACGAGTAAGTCCACACTATTCCCTAGCTTTGTTTCCAGTTTGGCTCTGGTGACTACATTTCAGGGACCCACAAAAGTTGTTTAAAGAAAAGGATGCCTTGCCCAACAGACTAACATTTGCTCTATGGAGGGTTGAAATATCCACTGGAAAGTGTTTGGGGTCTGTGAGTTACAAAAGCTTCAAAGAGTTTTCCTGGTAGAGTGCTGTGATATTGTATTATCACACCAATGCTGTACTCCAATACTGTATTTTTGTTGTATCCTGAGTTTCACTGTTCTTGAAAAGAAGTGGTCTCACTTCACGATTTATCATCACTGCAGCTATCCATACTCAGATTTTCCATTTTTTTCTAATCGTAGGCCAAACCTGTTTGCCCTAATCTGTGAGATTTTACTATTTGAATTAAATTAAATCTGAGCAGTATGCAACACTTATGAAGTTGTAATTCCATAGATAACTGTGCTCTCTTATGTTCCTTTTTGTTTTACAGGTTGTTACTTTGTGGTATAGAGCTCCCGAAGTCTTGCTTCAGTCCAGCTATGCAACACCAGTTGATCTTTGGAGTGTTGGCTGCATATTTGCAGAAATGTTCCGTCGAAAGTAAGAAAGTTTTATTTTCTTCATGTTTTTCATTTGAAATTTGGAAAAAAAATGCACAGTAATATCTGGTTTAATACACTGGCTCATGTTTATATTGGAAAGAACTAATTGGATGCTTTATTTACGCCATAAAATGTAAAGATCCGTTCTGAATTCATACTTGTTACCATCTTGGAGTCTTTCATTTTTTATGGAGTCTGCCTCAGCTCTTAATAAAGCCTGTATTAGCATTGTTGTGTTCCTTTTACACCCAAATCCAAATGGAGATAAAAGTGAGCTAGAGAGGCTGTTGATCAGTTTGAGTAAAGCTGGATTCTAGAAAGGATTTACCCCGAGGAAAGCAGAGCATTGTGGTCAGCAGAGTATTCTGTTTCTGGAGTTTGTTTGTGCACTGGAGTGTCATCTGTTTGCTTGTAGTCCCCTCTTGGCATGTTTGAGATCTCAGATGTCACTGTAAAGTTGATTTCTAGAGGTAGGAAACAGGCAGGATTTTTTCAAGAATAAGGAAGGTATTCAGTATCAGGCTTGATGAGGCTCTGAGCTGCTTGACCTAGTTGGAGACATCCCTGCTTATTGCAGGGGGTTGGACTAGATGACCTTTAGAAGTCCCTTCTAACCCAATACATTCTATAATTTAGCCTGAGTGCAGGGTAACAGAGATGTTATATGTAGCCAAAAAAAAAAAAAAGAAAAAACAACCCAGACAAAAGACTTTTTTCTTCCCCTGACTCGATTAAATTGGCTATCAGAACTATCTCGCTGCACAATATTACAGCTGCATGCAGATGAGTTGTGAATGTGAAAGGAACACCTGTCTTTCCCCATGGAAGGGTGCTAATATGGAGGTTGTACCATGTAGGATGTGGAGAGGAACAAACCCACAAGAGCCCTAACAAGGTAAATCTGTCTCACTGTCTATGATTCTATATGCATTTTGGTTGAGCATACTGCAAAAAGTGCATGTTGTCATCACCTGGATGATTGCTCTCTAGAAACTATATAGCACTTTGTAACCTCCACTCTGAAATCAAAAAATATGCATAAAGAAAATGTGAAAGAAAATTATACTGGCTGGCCTAAGACCCAAAATCAGTACAATTTACAAGGAGAACCCATATTGCAAGGGCCTTGAGAAACAACTATTTAATTTATACAATGAGAAGTTCAAAATACTAATAGAAGTCTTGTAAAATAACTTTGGGATTCTACTACTTATTAATGTTAGTATATGGAAAAATCATTTTTCTTGGGCTTCTTGCCTGCTCAAATGGCCTGGGTAGAATTACTATATCTCCACCCTTTCTGTCTCTGACTCAGAAATGAGGTCACAAAATGAGAGAAAAAAAGAATGTGGACCTTAGGAGTTGCAATTAAACCTTCCATTGCAAAATTCTAAAGATTTAGTCTTCTCCCATATACTGCCAGGTTCACAGTACCATTAATCCATTGATTTTTTTTTTATAATTTAAATAGCAGAATCAACAACTTTATTTTAGCATTTGCAATAAAAGTGACACAGGACAAACAACTGAAAATAGAACTTTATTACATGCTCAAAACTCCCTTTTTTCCCTCATTTAAGTTGCCATATTATGGCAGATAAGAAACATTGCCATAGACAAGCAGCACCAATTTAATTTTATTTTTATTTTTATGATGTATGAGCCTCATTGACTCTCAAATCCAATGCAGTAAATTAAATTAGGGACAGTTAAATTTTCCACTTGTTTATAAATGCAAACATTACATTAATATTATAAAATCAGATAATTTTTTTTTTAAATGGAAATGAGATTTGACTTGAAGCAGAGTTTGATAAAACCAGGACTTCTGTTATTCTTGCCAAATGCAAGGTCAGTTTGACATTCTCAGTCCTAAATTTGGGAGACTGTCAAAAACAGAGGTCAGGAATCTGCCAAGTCTGTATGTACTATGTCCTTTCATTGGAAACAATATGACTTTCACATACTTCAGTATAGAAGCATGATTTGGAAGACTAATCTCAAGGCTCGCTGCCATGAAGCTAAATGAACAGTACTGAATGCTATCTCCATGGTCTGCTGTGTTGGGTTAAAACTGGAACACTCTCTGTATGATATATGTTGTCTTTCTGATTTTCCTGATGGACTGCAAAAGAAAACCCCTGTTACTGTGACCTTGGTAGCAATAAAATGTACAATTTTGCAAACTCAATGGATTATTTCCAAAAGATTGAATAAATGTAACAGCTCTTTCTGCTGGAATAATGGTAGTGTCCTTGGGTGATCACTAATCTGCTTTTCCACTAGTGTTGATAGGATAAGAGTACAAGAATGCAGCTCAAGCTTAGAAGTAGGTGTTCGTTTGACATTAAGACAACCTTTTCTTTTTATTGTCTTACTGGGC